ATTATTATTATTATTATTATTATTATTATTATTATTATTATTATTATTATTATTATTATTATTATTATTATTATTATTATTATTATTAAACACACGGTGGTGCTGACGCCCACAGCACAAGCATAAGCACAAGCACAAGCAGAACAAAAGTTTTTGTTCTTCTTGTGCTTGTGCTTATAATTATGTCAAGTTAGGATGCGCTGTTGTAAGAATACCGTGACGCAGAAGCATCGTCCGCCATCTTGTTTCACTGTAGGTATGGTACAGAAAATAAGGCAATTATCTTTTCTGCGCATGCGTGCGTACTTACGTTCGCGTTGTGGGCGTCCTCACTGCCGTTGTGCTACGCTCATCTCGTAGTGAAACCAGGCTTAATACAACAATTTTGCCCGTATTACTTGGCTTTAATGGTGCCGACATTCCGACTTGCGCTTTAACAGACCGAACTCAGAATCAGACACACGGACAACAACACCAGCCATCCATTGGTAAGAAATTCACTCAACAATGGTAGCAGATTGGATAAATAACATATGGTACCTCGTTAACGCCTTATTGGTCTCTGTGATATGTCTTGAACCCATCCACTGCACTCCGCCCACTACGAGAATGGTGTTGGTGTTATTTTCCAGAGGAAGAAACCTGTAACAACAAAACAGTTACAAGATGCTATCCTTGTGTAAGTTTTCTTTCCAAGCTTTAGAGGCCAAATTGCCAATTAAGGTTATCTTTTCATTTTTAAGTTAGTTCAGAGGGCCAATAATTAAAGTCAACCAATGAGGTTGCCCTAATAACCGGTACAATATTCTCTAAGCCTTCGACAGGGCACTGTCCCGAATGATCTATCTGCACGATCACTCCTGAAGACTTTCTGGTAGTTTTCTGGCTTACGTTTCTGATAGAACTTTCTTTCACATAAAAGATTCCATTTCTTTTTCTTTCTTTTATCAACCAAGCTTGCTTGCGACCTTACCGTGAGAATATCGACCCTATGTCATTTTTGTACGGACCTCTGTACTGTCAAAACCTCCGGCCGATATTCTCCAAGTGCGGCTCTCGCGCGTGATTATCAAGGCATACGTATCAATGGCCTCCAAGGGCTGCTGAAATTGGAACTTAACGGTACTAACTTAGGAAACAAATAGGCCACACTTGTAAGTTAAATGCCATTGCATTGCGTTGATAATCATCTAAGAATCATGACGTAACTAGCAGTTAAAGACAGTTAATTTAGGTGTACAACATTTGGATTTCCAAATACCTTGCTATTAGCTGGTAAAGCGCTTTAACAAATGCAGGTCTTTTGTTTTCAGGAAGCCAAAACTGAGGGTAGTAAGCGAAGCTGACTGAGGTTCGTCGACCGTTTAACTCGTCACTGTAGATTTTCATCGTATGAGTCTTCTCCCATTTTCTTAACGAACCATTTAGCTGCAATGAAGATGCAAAGCTTGTAAGAGATACAGTAAAGAATCATTGTATCTCTATTCCCTAATGCCAACCAAAGTTACATCCTGTATCTTAACTGTAATACTCTTTGGTTAACCCTTTACTTCTCAAGAGTGCCAATTGGCACACAACGTCATAACTTTGTGAATATCTGAGACATTTCTCTATGAATTTTTGCCACGAAAACTGCTTTGTACAAATCTACTCATTGAAGTCAAAAATTTGTGACAGCCTCCTATCTTCTGAGACATGATTGACCACCCCCACAAGTTTCCAATTTCTTTTTTGAGATGCAAATGGCAAGCAAGACTTGTTTCACATCAAGCTATGAACTAAGACCTGCGTAATAAGCTATAGCTTAGGGATATACCTATGATATTTGAGAGTTGATAAGTGTTGGAAGTTTTTCAGTTTCACATTTTAATGCAATTTCTCTCAGAATGACTACCTCCTTTATAGCTGTTGATGTCAATTTTTTTAAACATAAGCTGATCAGTGGCTTTCAAATGGTATATTGTACACAGGCAGAGAGTCTATTTGCTGATTTGGGAAAAACTGCTGTTCGCCTTAGAGGGTAAAGGTTTAACAATTACTAGCTTAACGATAGAAAAATTCTCTTTAGCGCTTCCTTCTCACCTTCTCCATAAGGTAATACATGATGCCACGATTGGTGGAGTCTCCAATAAATAGAATCTACACCAAAATAGAAAACAACTTTTAGACATTCTAAGTTACTTACTACACTGCGGAAAAACAAGCGTATCAAAAATCACCACTTCAACAGTCTATCAGTAACAGTACCATTCTACCTATACGCCGTCATCTTTTACAACACTTTAACCTGTTTTCAGGAAATTTCTCTCAAAGAATCGTGAATTCCTGAGTTCTGTTCTCGTACACTCAAGTTAATAGTTTAAACATGAACCGACCTTCCTGTTTGCAAGACATGTCCTGGTATCATCCCTTGACAGCACATTGTAATGACACGAGTAAGGAGCCCAAACTGCTTCTCTCCAGTAACAACTGTTAGAGCCATCACAGCTGGCACACGGAAGAACCCAACGACCTATCGGCAATATCATCAAAATTTTGATAAGCATGATAAGACGCAACTTTTGGCAAAGTTTAAAAAAATTCTGTACATAGGGTTCAGAGCCATCTTAAATTTTTAAAAATCTAAGGTCTGAACTTTGTGATCAATATTCACCTGACTCGTGCCCAGTTTTACAACGTGGAAGTTGCTGTTGATTAAGGAGAAACCTCTCCCAAGTTAAGCCTGGTAGGTTCTGCAGACCACAAGGAGTGTTAGGAATAACTTGCAGGCTGCATTCCTGGGAAATTACGTGACAACAAAACCAGTCACTATACATTTGTTATGAAGTCTAGTAGCCTTCTGACCTTAGGTTGCCCCTCTGTTGACACTATGCTATGTCAAGAGACTCCTATTTATAAGAAGGAAGAAGATTAGCAGAATAGAACTCCAAAGTTGCTTCGCATTAGTATTAGGTTTCCTGCAACATTTAACGAGTTAGGTACAATAAAGCTTCCTTTAGCTAGGGACACTGAAGAGCTAATGACAATGAAAGTATTAAATTCGTCCCAGTATTTCATGTCACAATTTTCTTGAATGTTGGAATGTTTTTGATCCAGTACAGAGTTATAAACTGTGCTTGTAGGTAGTGATTGTATGACAGCTGCCACAACCATATTTTGGAGGGTCACTTTTCACCTTCCTGCCTGGCGAGAAAGGGCAATGTGAAGAAATACTCTGGAGTTGAAGTTGTTTGTACGTCATTTTCATATTCTCAGATTGAACCCTACCCATAGCTCGTAATGGACGTTAATTTAGGGAGATCTTTCCAACCTCAAATAACATGACAGAGTTAAAAAAAAAAAAAACTCCATGCAGGATTAGCCTCCACTGCATGCCAGATCAAATCCAATCAGGGAAATATGAAAACCACATATTACAGTTATGAGTTTGTTATGATCTCTGTATCCTAACCAATTAACTACCTGGTAGTGTGCACAAACTTGATGAGCAGATTCTTTATCAAACGTCTTTTCTGTCTCAGAACGTCTTTGACGAAACACAAACAAGCGGTATGTATTCACTATTTCAGGCGTGGCCAGGCTGGTGTCAACAACAAATATGGAAAACTTGTTCCAGCCCACGCCAAGGGAATGGTTTGATGTTCTGAAAAAAAGGTCACAAACTCATTAACAATTCATCAAGTTCAAACAAAGAAAATCACACCCGTGAAGGAGGTTTGGATACACGGTCTAATTAGCATAGATTTTGACAATTTTACTTCTCTGTTTAATCCTTAGTTTTTGTTTCAATCGAGAAGATATATCAAACACTCAAGACAGTGTTTTATTGGCTATCCAAACACCTCGAATTTCGTCAAAAATACTCCACTGCACCCCACTGTACGTCGTATTTTCAAGTCTCTCCTCAGTGCTTGGATATAACGATGAAACACTGTCTCTCGTGTTTGATATATTACGCCACAACCATGACAATCTACCTTATTTCGCACATTATAGACCTAACAAGCTATATTAACTCTAATTATTAATCTCTTACCAACAATTGAGAATTAACAATTTGTAAAGAAAACAAAAACAGCAGCAATGTTAAACTGACATCTGTAATCAGATAAAGAATTTGTTCTGACTTGCACAACCTTTTTTCAGCTGCAATAGATTTTATCGCTAGATTACAACAAACATGGCTTTATGAATCGCACATCTAGACAACTTAGAAGTCAGAAAAAATGTGTCCATTTTGTAAGAGACTCACAGACCCTTAGCTTTGAATTCATGGTCCGTTAACTGTCTACAACATGACTAATAATCCTGAACAGAGCTTCATACATGTATGTGTACTCACTGGGTGTCTTCCTCATGCTTTGTGTTGATCCGAACATCTGACTGACAAGTGGAAGTTTTTCCCCAAAGCTGTAGGACCATTGTATCAAATGAGACAGTAGTTTGATACATGAAAACGTCACTTGTGAACTCTGGGCGAAGAACTACTGTTGGTCGAGTATTGAATTCTATCAGAACAGGGTCTGCTTCTGGATCTAAATAACAATTAGAGAAATGTCCTGTATCAGTAACACATTATGTGACAGCCTTTTCAGGAAGTCTATTAGCAATTAACGTAAGTCTGTTTCTGTTTTTTGACCCAAGAGCAACTGTCATAAAAATGCATTGCCAAGTTGACAGTCAATGGCAAGTTAAGATAGTATAGAAATTGGAGCAAAAGATATTATACTATTAACAGCAACATATGCAGTTGTAAGAAAAAAAGTTTGAAAAATACAGAGTTAAACCCAAGACCTTTCCAATTCTGGTGCAAAATGCAAGAATATGTGATAAATGAAATGAAAGCATTGCAATGCTTAATTATAGTACAAATTAAAAATACTTTCACCTTACCATTGTTACACACCGTTTCCTTTTCCAAGTCTGAAAGACACAAAAACAAAATTTCTTCATAACAGAAAACAAAACCAAACTTGATTTATATAACTTACCAGACAGCACACATTTCTCTTAGTTGGATTCTGGAGTTGACTAAGGATAACACAGTTACTGTTTTATAAAAAGCCTTTTCCCAGCATAAAAACTGAAACCTGTAATTATACTTGAGCTGGAATTCAAATGTCAATTTAACCAATAATAATGTTAAAAAATAACTAAGAAGTTTTGTAGCAACTGAAAAATAACACAGATTAACCAGTGGCAGATTTAGGGGAGGGGTCAGGGGGGGGCTTATTTTGGGTCAAAAAACAATTGCAGAAGGAAGAAAAGCCGGCAGGGCAAGAACCCCCCCTCCCCCTCTTAGCTCAAGGTCTGGATCCGCCACTGTTAACATACAAGAGTTATTTTATCAGGGGGACACGATTATTTAACAAATTGACCTCAGTTTTTCATGCATCTGTCCTGTTATTGATCATGAATTTCGTCATAACATTGTCAAAATAGCTGTGGATCCACGAGGCGATAGCCAAGTGGATCTGCAGACTACTTAAACATTGTTATGACAAAATTCATTGCGAATAACAGGACAGATGCATTAAAATCTGACATCAATTTGTTTTTTGTCAAATTGTCCGCTCTCACCCGTTGAAGCATCGCATAAATTATAAATTCATGTGTCTGTCCGTTTATTGACAATAAAAATTAGCCAATCAGCGCACGAGAATTTCTGCAGTTATCGTAAAAATAGAAAATGATGTTAAATTCCTATAAACCAGAGTCTGAATTGACACTTGTCTACACTCTAAACCAGTGTTGTTGCCAAATTTTAAAACAAATGTGATTACCTGCTGATACTCTTGAATTTCTTGTTGATGATGTTGATTTTGTACCTCCTTTGTGCTGCCTGCATTTAATTAAGGCCACAGCAAGTAAGAAATGACACAGGAATGTTTAAGAGGCCACATATAAATTTCAGAATAATTTTTAGCTTTTTATGCACATGCAAACTCGTACCCCATGAACATACAAAGGGGACAGGGGTTGGTGAAACAATGGATGCCCCCCTCCTACAAACACAACCCTTTTCCCTATGAAGGGGTGGCGAATGGTAAATGCAAGACTTTGCAAGATGGTGAGACAAGCGTATTTCTCTGCAAGCCCAAGACATTCAAAATTCAAGCCCCAGATTTAGTTGATAGCTAGAATGAGCTCGTACAGCCTTTTTATTTCGCCAGCTTCTTCGAATGGGCTGGAACTGGAAATTTGATTATAACACACAACATTATGATATCCTAGATAAAACAACTGTTTTTCTGGCAATAAAACCGACATTGCGGTAAGTTTTATAGCTTTTTGTGAAATTCAGACAATTTAGAAGAAGTTAGGATTAACTTTAATTTTTCTCAGAAATTTGTAAGTTGCTTCATTGAAATTCAATATCAAATGAAGAAAAGACGTCATTTATAAAAACAGATGAACAAACAATTCAGCCCTACAAGACCCTTAGCCTTGCAAAAAATTGAGACTCCAAGACTGCGAGATGCACATAACTGCTAAAAACGAGACTGCGAGACCCATGAAATTCGACTAAAATTTTGCGAGACCCAGAGTTTTTAAGGACCATTCACTACCCCTCTATGATTTCACTGTTATGAGATATCCCTACAGGGCTTGCTTGCCTCCTGTTGCAGTACGCTTTAACTGCTCTGTCTTATGACCATTCAAAACAGGCAATTTTTTCTTTCAAGGTGTTAATTATTTCTCAAAGACAATAAGGTATTGCTCAGAGGTGAAAGTGCAAAACATTCTTGCAATTTTGACTTACACTGCAGTAACGAACTAACTTACCAATCATTTGTTGCCCTCTGTGCTTCAAATCTTGTCAGAATGTCATGTACATCAGGTGTTCCTAAGCCAGTTCTGTGCTTGACATCCAACTCTACACCAGTGTCAAGCAACTCAAGCATCAGTGTCTTGTACTTATGACCATGTCGGGTTGGATAAAGCTGTTAGTGAAAGAGAAAGAGACAAGGTATCATAATTAGTATATTCCAATTTGTCATCCCCAGTATATCACAAGAGACCTAAGCAGTCACACACATGATTGAAGAATTCTAATGAGACTGAGAGAATTCTCAGAAAAAATAGAGAATGACTTTTCTCAAGTTGAGGATACTATGGAGGAACCAGATTTGCAAAGAGGCCTCAAAGGGACCATGTCAGAGCTGAGTTCCATCTATTTTATTAAGACTTCTTCTATTTTTGTCCATCAGTGCCTTCTTTTGTATTTGCTGTGTTGTTGAAATGTTCCCTCGCTGTTTTTAGTGGTCACTCTTATGTTTCACTCAATTTGGTGGTCATTTTCACAGGTATGAATTTGGCTAAAATCTGTGACACTGGACATTCATTTAATTGCCCTCATCCAAACAATGAAACCTACTTTTTCCTCTGATCCAAGACACACAAATATTGCCCTCTTATTATTCCCTCTACTCAGCTGGCTAGACTTGAAGTTGTTCAAGAATTTGTTACATCTTAAGTCAAGATTAAAGCAACTAAAAGCCATCAAAACAGAAAGAGAATGTACACAAAACCTGTTTAAAGTTTCCTAAATGCTGTTCTTCCCGTTTGGTTTCTAACAAGTACTCCAGCAAGTCATCTGTCAAACATTGTCCCTTCACTTGTTGGGGTTGACAGTTCTGATTGACAGAAAACAAAAAAGGCTTACAGAAAAAGAAAGTTTTATATTGAAAGCCAGTATCTTAGGTATAATCCCTTTAGAGTTCCAAAATATTGATCCATATCAGTTTTGGCCTCAATTTAATCTAAAAACAAATACATAAACATGTACATCTAAAGTACACATATGTTTAGGACTGACTTTCATTTTGTAATAATATTAATATCGTCATACACAAATTCACAGTTACCCAATTAGAAGCCCTGTCTACTGTTGTAATGTCATTGTCTTTATATCACCTGTTACACTGTAGGTACACTTCCGCAGCTTATCCAGCTTGATTGGTCTTAACATGGGTACATGTGTTTTGGAATTTCAGTTTCAAACAAATTTAGTCATGAAGATTAATACCATTAACTTGAAAAATAATATACCCAAGACCCAATTTGATTGAACCCAGTTGTTAGGGCACAAGCTTAGACCTTCGCATATTTTTTGGAACTTGACGAAAGCATCTTGGCCACGTCAAAATGTTGTTTGCTCTTTTTGCTTGTTTCCATATTAGAGTGCTTTTCAAAACCCAAAAGCTTATCCAACTCAGTTTTTTCATGATAAAAAGCCTCTAAAATACATACGTAACCCCTTCTCCTCAAATACAAGGACTTGTATTCAGGGCTTACACATAAATTTAGCACTAAAATAATCAAATCTATTCCACTGATTATACCCCTCCAAGAGACATTTTTTGCACTGTAACACTATGTTCAGAGATTTTGTCTTGACATTAATTATTTGACTGTAGAGCTTACTTTGTGTCTTGTATTAATTATTATGTCACTGAGAGGGTATATTTTGGCACCCGTGTATAAATACTAAATATTTTCAAGATCACTGACCTTGATTACCATTTTTTCCATCATCACTTCCAAGCTCTGATATATGTCATGGGACAACGGAACAGATGACATATTAAACAATAGATTGACAGTGTCCTGAACTACCCTCAGGGAAACATTTTCAAAAGCAGGAGACTTAACCTTGAATGGACAATAAAGAAAAAGTTAAATATATATGGAACATGTCATACAGCCTCCACAAAATTTTCCACTCTGGTGAATAACAACAACAGGCTTAACATTGTTAGTTAAATGACAGTTTATTCTCCAGGATTATCTAAAGCTGATCAACAATCAGTGACCAACAGTCTCTCAATTAATTTCTTACTCATAGAATCAGACTCAACAAACTAAGGGCACCAAGCATCACCGTGAAAAGTGATGATCAATATCAATTGTTGATCCCTAGTTTCAAAGATTGATCGTTATCAGCCAATCACACATCAATGACTAACCAACAGTAGCAAGTTAGTACAATTTCCTTCATTTACTACTGACTGTTATCCACCACTGTAGAGAAGCCAAAAACATTTTGTGTACATACTGATTAATGTTTCCAAGTCATTACTGAAATTGGCACCTTTTCCTAAAATCAAGCACACACAAATTTGGTCTTCTTTTGGTAAGCTTTTCACAATATCAAAACAGCCATGGACAACATCATAAATTCAGTTTCAAAATTTCAGGGAAATCACACATGTGATTTACCAAATTGTGTGTTTTTGAGGTGTTTGCAGTCCAATAAAACAAGGCAGACTGGGGATACACGCTTAAAGTGGTGGTATGGTCTGAGTAAGAATCTTATTGCATTTTGGATTTAATAGGCACCTGCTTAGGAAATTTGCAAGTGTAACCCTTGTACCACTTAAAAGTAACTTTGTGTCTTAATTAGATGTAAATGGTTGGAATTAATTCTTTGCACAAACTGCTGTTTATCTCTAAGAGTTGTTCAGTTATTGATAAGATATAAAAATAGTGCAGATTATCACTGATTATTAACATCACGGAGTGGTTCCTCCCATTGGGCACCAAAAAGAGATGGTGGGATTTTATTTTACCTTGTATGTTCCTTACCGATACACTTACCTCTAAAATAAAAGGACTGAGAGATGAGGTAAAAGTAAAAGTGATTTCCAAGGCCTGGAAACATTGCTTGCACCTGAACATTAATCAAACAAGTGTCATTAGAAATCTAATACATACTTGCAGGACTGCAAGAAGAAGAGGCTTTGGGGTAAGCCCATCCACCTCCCCCCCCCCCCCCCCCCCCCCCAATCCCCACTTTTATATAGGTAAAGTATGCAGCTCTTCTTCAAAAGTCTAATATTTGCCTTGATGGGAAGTGCTAGCTGGATAAAAGATAAAAGTGGACAGTTTATTGGTTGCCAAGAAAATGAAATATCTTTCACTATCTTTGGGTTAACTTTAGAACAGGGGATGTTTTCTGGCAAAGTTCTACAGAAAACAAGGATGTCAGCTGCTAGTGGTGACCAGTCTTTTTAAGTCCTGGAGGAGAAGATGTGAAACTTGTCAAAATCATTCTATGGCGTGATTTTACTTAAAGCACGAAGGAGAATTACAGCCAAACATGAATGAAACATTAATGCCACGCAGAACAGCAACGATTTGTTACAATTATTTCCGAATTTCATAGAAAATACAGTGACCAATACAATAAATGTAGCGCACATCAGGAAGGTTGGGTATAGTCCCATCGAGTAAACAACTTCTTTCCTGTATTTTCATGGTATAAAAGATAATACAACCAAATAACACTATGCCCTGGAGAGTGTGAAATATCAAAACACAGCCCATTTGGCTTATATTATGTGATCTCCTACTCTGTATAAACCCTCACAAAAATAACTAATAAAACCATTACCCAGGTGTCTAACAGTGAAAACACTTGACTAGTTAGACTACTGGTGTACCTACCTGGAAATTTGTTTTCCTCTACTAGCAGGAAAACCTAAGTAGGTAACAAGTGTAGGTTCAAGTAAAAGAAACATTTTCACAATATGGTCATCCATCCACTCAAGTGCTTCACTGGCTTTGTTTTCACCAAAATTGCCCTCTAGGTGTTTAAAAAACTTATCAAGGCTCCATTTCTCAAAAGCACCCTAAGGATCAAACAAACAAATCCAACTAAATAACTGAGAACTCAAACTAAAATGTTCTAAGGGATAATATAAAATCATTGCTATGTGCATAGTCTGATAGGATCATCACTGAGGAGGTCTTAATCAGTCTACATAAACATTGTTACGACAATTTTTGGCCATAAAGATCATCTACATTGAGAAAATGCACAACAAAAAAATTCAGAAACTTTAAGTCCAGACAATCAAAGTTACCCCTCACAAAATGCATCATAGACTCTGAATATCTATAAAGTTATATACAAAATATAGACCATCTCATAAGTATAATTTAATTACTGATAAGTAAATTGTAATTCAGATTTGGCCAGTCAGTTTCGTATTTCTACTAGCTTCTCTGGTGAGAACAAAACAGTCATACTTTCAGGATTCATAAAAATAAAAATTTCCCATTTTTTGCAAAAATAAGAGCTGAACACAGCAGAAATTAAAAAACATGGATATCTCAGATTTTATTAATCTAAACTCTCCAATATAGGCAATTTAAAAAGTTTCAATGCCAGACCTTGCCAAACAATTTTAAATACCAAATCTTGACTGCCTGACTAGCAGAAAATCTGATCTGGTTGATTAAGAATTGTTTTCCTTACAAATCTGACATGTCACTAGCCAGCTAGTACAATATTAAGTTATTAAATTATTTAATACAACAAGTACAATTATTATATTAAATTAGTACACCAGTGTGTTTTTAACATTGGAGAAAGTCTAATTCAGTCTTAAAAGAATTCATATGAAGTGAAATTTATCTAAGTTCTCACAATGAACTTACAAATTTTCCATTCTCTGTTCCTTGGAGATACATGTGTCCCTCTTTGTGTCTGTATACCCTGAGAGGAGATACTGAGGTAACTAAGGCATAAACCTGTACTATGACAACCTTGTCTTCAATCAGGAGCACATCTGCTGGAAACGACTGTACAACAGCCTCTGACAACTCATTCCTGAAGACCAAAAGGGAGAAACAATTTAAACATTTTAAATGATAAAATATACTATAGATTTTACAAGTAATATGCATGTAGAGCTTATTTTTATATACAGTAACTCTTTTATTGAAGATAAAGAAGTCTCACTCTTATGTAATCATGAATATATTGATCATCCATACATACAAGGGATTCAGGTCTCACAATTATTAGTCCCACTCATGTATGCAAAACAAAATAAACTTACACTCTCACACTCAAACAATAACTCTTTTCGTATCGGGATTCAAACAACCAATTTTTGTAGAAACTGCTTCCAAGTAACAACAAGTCTGAAGTTCATTTTAAAGTAAAAAATTGCCTCCAAAGTACCTTAATCCAAGTCAAGTGCTTGAGACATAATCATGTTGCTGCTTAGAATCAAGGAAAACATTTCTAAGATGTGCTAAGATGCTTTGATGACTAAGACTCCCAAGAAAGCAAACAATTAGAACGTCTGTTTTCTATTCTCATTCTTTGGGAAAAGTATCAACCCAGTTGAGAGTCCTCAGAGTTAATGATATCAACTAAAACCTCTTAACTTGAGGTTTTCAGGAAAAAAAATACATCTTTTCACCTTTGTTCTGTTGCATTGGACAAATAATTAAAAACATCAATTTGATTTAAAACAACAAATGAGTAGATACATTTTCTCACTAGCAGAACTTGTATGTCCCCAGTTTTGAAATGGCGTAGCAATCGATTCAAGAGATTTCAAAGTGAACGACTGACTTCTTCCTTCTTTGATGTCTTGAAGAAGCAACTTTTTTTGTGCTGGCAACACAAAACAATGGGGTGATACAGGCTTGCTTTTAAAAGCTGCAAAATAGGGCATCATTAAATTATCACTAAGAACTATTTAGCATGAGTAGAATTCTACTGTATACTAATGCAAATGCTGCAATCTGATTGGCTGAGCAACTAGTATACTGTCAACCATCAGAGTGCAGTGGTTGTCAGTCGTCTGTGAAATGGCGACGTTTTTTCCTTTTTCCAAAATTTTGGAGGAACATTTTGATGCAAATGGATAAGTAAATTCTTGAGAAGACTAGCAGAACGTCATTAACAGTTTTTTGACTTTAAAAACTTGAAATTATTGAAAAAAAAGAGTGCGCACTGCCAATGGCAGCTGCAAATTCCTAGTGACACTTTTATTACCATACCTGAAACATGTTTGGAGGCAGAGATCAAGTAACAGAAACCATCATTCCTTAGAAGTAGTTTCTCCATGCCTGGAGCTGGCGACATCTGAAATAGTATAAAGAATCCCATCTTTTCAGATTCTATAACAATATGAAAAAATCCATGCATAAATACAACAGATCATGTGCACTTGAGTCATCAGTCAGCCGAGTATCGGTCAATACTATCAGTCGACATGTAGACCAAGTGTCAGTCGATATATCAGCTGATACTCAGTCAATATGTCGACCAAGAGTCAGCCATGTATCGGTCAACATGTCATTCAAGTTAATTGGTAGACCATCAGTTGACACTATCAGTCAACACTTGGTCAGTATGTCAGTCGACACTTGGTTGACACCTCAACCATCACGTTGCAATCAATAGTCGGCCATATATTGGTCAACTGTCGGTGGTATATGTGTAATGTTAACCATTGTTTTACTGAAATGGCAGCCATCTCCTAGCCCCTTCCCTTGACAAATAATTGTGCTTCATCAGTTCAGGTTGAGCCATGCTAAAACAAAACCTGTTGAATTTTCCTCAAGTAACAGGAACATAATATAGGAAACTTTGATTCAAATTAATATCAATTTTAACTGGTGTGTATTAAAAGAAACATTCCTTGAAATTTGAATTGAAAACTCTACCATCACACTGAGATATTGTTACAGCAGACTAAAATAGCAGTGTACCATGAAGTACAAACAGTTTATGGTATCTAACTAGTTTTCCTGCTGCTGACTCATTGACAACACAGTCTAGACATGAAGAGCTCCCCCATGTGGCAGCAATATAGATTTAAACTGGAAGAAAAGCCCAATCATGCCAACTTTTTATAGCGTTTGTTGCTCCCCAAAAGTAACAACCGCTCGAAAGTAATGGCCCCCCAAAAATAACGAGCCCCAGAGGCTGCTTATTCCGAAAACAACAAGGGCAGTTATTTCGGTACTCCACTTTTTATTGTCGTTTTAAACCTTTACCGATTTGCAGTGTGTAAAAAGCAATGATGAGAAAAAAAACAGTCTTTGACATAGATGAATGTTGCTGGCATGAAAGGCCAAGGACAGACAAAGGTCACTGAAAGTCCCTTTCAAAGGGCTAGGGCCGAGTGTTGGTAAACTATCTACCAAAGTCATGTTGGCTGGGTTTCAGTTAAGTATCAGCTGAGTATCGACCCAATATCATCTGACATGCATGTTGGTATAGAGGCAACCAGTGTTGGTCAACATGTCGACCAAGTCCAAGTGATGGTCGACATATCAGCCAATACTCAGTCAAAATGTGGACAGGCACTTGGTTGAAATGTCGACTGATAGTATCAGTCGATACTCAGCTGTCAGATGCCTTAAGTACACATGATCCAATACAATAACTCACCCTCTGGTTTTCTTGAAGCAAGAGGAGATCATCCCTTTGAAAGCAAGTAGATGCTGCAGTCGCATTTCCTCGCATTTTTCCTCTAAAACACCACCTATGTCCCGACCATTCCTTTTTCATTGAAATTGATTTCTCAGTATCTTTCAACAAAGTAACTCTGTAACCAAGAACTTTAAAGGTATTTTTGAAAGTTTCTAAGACATCCTTTCTTAGAGAGTCCACGGAATTCACAAGTAACACTTCTGATTGCCTCTGCAGCTTGTTTTTCTCCAACTGCCAAGATACATGTAATAAACTTGATTAATTTACTATAAATTGCATTAATACAGCAGTTTTCAATTGAGTGCCAAAACCAAATGCAAGTTTGAAGCCAAACTAATAAATTACTTACCAATTCGACTACTCAGCCAATCTTATCCTTCGTAAAACCAAAACCAAAGGAATTCCCTGATTACTTTCAAGGCAATCAATTGAAAACTGCTTTTAGTCTTAAATATAACAGATGTTACAAGATAAATAAAAACACCTTTGATCTGTTTTCTCTTGTACATGTGAAGACTAAATTAATTTCTCTTCATCAACGCATGTAGTCAGTAGTATGGGATGATAATAGCAGTGCTCTGGTGGTCCATATAGGAAAGAAAAGGAAACCCACAAATAGATTTTCTCATGGTTATCATGACTAGTGGTATTGCTCATGGGCATGTATGCATGACAACCATGATGGCGGCAGAGTCGCGCAACATGGCAACCATACTCCTGCTAATACATGCGTAGGTTGACAGAGACATACAGCCTTGGTTTACAGTGTACATCTTTGTCATCAGACGTCCATGTTATGGTTAATTAACACCTGTCAAAACAAGGTATCTGCTGGCCAGTATCACAGACCCATATTGCAGGCTCAAGTTTATAGCTCATCGAGATCACATGCTTTTTTTGAAGTTGACCGCTGACCAAGTGCTGGTTTTCGATTGGATTGTGGTCTCAAGCCAGGTTTATTTGTTGTATTCAGGGCCTGGTTGTTCAGAAGCCAATTAATGCTAACCCAGGATTGAAATTTAACTGAAGTATACATTTTTCTTGCATAAAAATGTTTTTACTACTTATGTTTTGTGTTGTTTGAGATTATTCAAACTCAAAACAGAAGGTCAAACAATAAACAAAAAACCTCACCACAAAGTTACAAAACTCAAATCAAAATTCTCGCTTATCCTGAGTTAGCTCAATCAGGCTTTGAACAACCTGGTCCAGGAGCTCCACTTTTAGGCTTGATGAAATCTATATATTATATTCAATGTGAAGAGACTTTGGTGACCAACATGATAATCAGAGTTCACTAGGACAGTAACTGTCTACTTTAAATTAGAAATTTACTTTGTTCTTTTCTTCTCATCAACTCTTCCATGGGCACCCTCCTAAATGTGCTTCAGAACTTTATGGTGCCCCTAATGTGTTGTTCTAGAAAATTTCCATACATATCCTGAGGAGGATTTTTGGCATGAATCCCTCTCCTTACCCAATTCCTCTCAAAATTCCAGTTTTAGCTCATACCCTCCTTTAAAATTTTGGCTATTGAGGTCTGGAACCATACAATCATAATTTATAAGCAATAGACATGTTCATATGGAGCGGAAATTGGGACAAAAATGACATAGAATCAAGTTTCATGCCATTGGACCATCCATGCTATATCATCAGATCATACATCATTCTATCAGGACCATATAAGTCAGGTCATTGAATCATACTCCACGAGGCTGTAATGGCCATCATGCCATTGGATCAGACTTCATGTCATTGGATCAGAGTCATATAATCATGCTGTCAGACTCCTAACAACACAACATAAAGTGCCCTTCAGAAACACGTATAAAGCAAAGGAAGGTCAAGAGACCAAAAATCGTTTTAGATAACGGCAAATGTACAAATGTCATGAACCATAGGAGTCATAAAGGCATGCAAACCCCATTTTACACATTATGGTCAGATAGAATGATGCACCATCCAATGACATGAAGTTGGATCCAGTGACATGAATCCTGATCCAGTGACATGACTTATATGGTTTTATAGATGGATGTATGATCCAGTAGCATACAGTAGTGTGAATAGTCCAATGACATGAAACTTGATATGATACCATTTCTGTCTCAATTACCTTCCTTATGTTCAGAAGAGTCATGTGTTTTTCTTTTTTTAATACAAAACCTTGGACTCTAGTTTCAATAAATTCCCAGCCTGATTGATTCCCACCCAGAATTAAAATCAACAAAAGATGGTTTGATTTACACTTTAAATTAGGTAGATACATTTATAATTTAGGTTTGTTAATTTTGTCATAAAAAAGTCAAAAATCTTGATCTATTTATTGTTTTACTTTGTTTTTCCTTGTAAAAGCTCATCTTGACCCAATTAAGAGCTTGAAAAGAGATTAAAAGGTTCAATACCAAACACTCGTCCTTCTGAGAGAAAAATTGTTAATTTTAGATACAAAGAGGAAAAAATTATAATGTAAAGTTTTTGACTTCATGCTTTGAAATTTTAAATTCAATTATGAAACTTAAAATTAACTGAAGGGGCAAAAAGGTTCAAAATAAAAGACACAAATATATAATTCATATTTTCATCAAACTTTGATAACTAAAAAATTGTCCAGCCCTAGAAAACATGACAATTTTATCTCACCCATCACAACTTCATTTTACAAATTAAATTTTTTGTGAGATATTTACAGAGATCTTGAAAAAATGTCACAAAGTTTGTTTAGTATAATTGACCATCACTGCTTCACAGTTTGAAGATGAGGTGATATCTGAAAACTGCTAGTGATAGAACACAAAGAGAACATAAAATTTAAAAAAAACAATGGAATTCAATAGAGGAAATCAAAATATTTCCAGGGATACAAATGGCAAGAATTAGAATATTTCGTCAAACTGTAAAGTGGTCCTTAATTATTCAACAACTTTTTAACCCAAAAATGCCAGTTGCCTTTGTGTCGTTTCACAAAGAAAGAAGCTAATTAATTACCACTCAATCTTAAGGGGTATTCCCCACTATTGAACTAACATGCACGGAAAGCAAAGAAACTATGCTAGATTATGACTCTGTGCTTTAGTAAGACGACGTTTAGAAACTTTTCTCTGATGTCTCCATGAATGGATTAATGACTGGTTTTTCAACGTAAGCTTTATAGTGGTTACAATGTAATAAAAATTTCATGACACTCAAGACGTAACACGTGTAGGTGTAACAGAACTGACCCACTAAATGAAAAATTCTATTGCTCCATATGTACACTGGTACATTGTACTTAGTTAGCTTTCATAAATACGTTGACATAGGTTAAAACAATATTTACCTCTTTCAGCCTTTGCAGTAATCTTATTTCTGTTATCTTCTTGGCCACCTTAGCCTTTGATGTAACTGTATACCCCAGTACCGGCCGGGACGTTCGAACTACTCCACTTTCCTCTCTCTTTCTTGTCAATTCGTTTTCTTGAAAATTGCCTTCCTTAAGCCTCAAAAACTTTGCTGTTTCGTGTCTTGTCGACTGCAAACCTTTGGGGAGGATTTCAGAATCAATTTGGAGACGACTTCCAATCCAATAAGTCCATAACACGGACATTGCTGTAATCAAACCCAACAACACCACGACATATCTTCGCCTGCAAAGCCGTGGTAATCGCATAACGCCTTTGCCGCAGTATTAAGTCTACTTGAGCTTTAACAGAGTAGTCGCCATCTCGTGCACAAGGCTTCTTCTTCCTTGTCCCCATTAGTAAAGAACAAGACAAAGTTCAGCTGCGATTTGTGATGTCATCTTCTCTCGGGACTGCATGCTGACAAAGATGACAGGTTCCGTGTGTATGAAGATTTCTTCTGTCGCCAGCTCCAGCCCAGAGGACTTTGTTAGTTTGTAGAGAATGAGGTTGTGTCTGGCGAAAATTGAAACTTTTAAATATATTCAGAGTTGATGTATTGTTCCATCATTGGCGTTTTTCAACCAAAACAAACTTCTCAATAACCTGTCCATTTGCGGTCTCTCTGACATGTTTTCTGCTCGCGGTGAGCTCTAGTACCCAGGACTCTCTGAAGAAGATCCTCACCACATTCTCACCAGTTCCACCAGTTTACGTTTCGCGCGGTGAAATGAAAATCAGTTCCAGGGGCTCAGTTCATCGTGACGAGATGGAGTGTTTTCGATCTTGTTGTTATCGTTGTAACAACTGAAAATTGAAAGCTTGTATGGTTTCTATGCTAACGCCTGC